TCAATGTTACATCAAAAACGGGAAGACAGCAATATCTGCTCATTGTGTTATTGGATAAATGACCTTAATAGTCAATAAATGTTTATAACTGTGCTTGTTCTGTGTAAGTATTTGTTAAAAAGAAGCACAAATGAAAAGATTTATTTTTCTTAAAATGGACATAAACCTAGCCCGGTGCAGTGGCATACACCTGTGTTTACGTGATCTTGAGGTACTCAGAGGATGAGTAGAAGATCTCTTGAGCCCAGGAGTTCAAACCAGCTTAGGCAACATAGTGAAATCCTGGTTTAAAAAAAAAAAAAGTATAAATCTGCTCACCACACAGGATTTTCTTGTATGTAAAAATCCAATTTCTAAGATCAATAAATTATGCAGTAGTTTTTGCTAAATTTTTAACATAGGGATGCTTGTTTTACTAAACAAAAATATAAGACAATTTACTTTGAAATAGAATTTAAGAACACTTCCATTATATTGAAGTATATTTAAAACTTCTACAATTTGGGTCTCACACGTTTAATTGACTAAACTAACGGCAAACTGTATGTCCTAGAAGCTTAGCTAATGATTCTATACTCAGGTAAAATTTATTAAATTTCAATGCATGTTCACATCAAACAATCAGGCAGATTGTGGGAATAAGCCCTGGGAGGGAAAAAAAACAAGGCTTGGACAGGTTAACTAAACTTGTTTCAAAGCCTCATTCAATGGTTATGATCAGCAGGATGGGCTCTAGTCCCAAACTTGACCCTGTCTTTTAAATAGCCAAGGCTCTTTCATTGACATCAGCTGCCACCATGGGAGCCTTGGTAGGTTCTACTGTTATTTAACTCTCTTACCAATATGTTCAATGTTGTTCGCTTGGGGAGCGGAGACACCATTGACAGAAGAAAAAGAAGGCAAAGTTCATTGCTGTAGATCTAACAAAAACTGAGGCTGATGGGGTGTGGAAGAAAGTAGATAGGGAAACCAACCTTTACAAATGACTCAAAATGAAAGCAACCATGGATTTTGGTATTATTGGTTGGTTACTTGTGACAAGTGTACCATAGTAAAGTAAGATATAAAACAACACTCTTATATCCTCGCAACTTTTTTGTAAAAATAAAGTTATTCTAAAATTTAAAAACTTAGAGAAGGAAAGGGGAATAGAAGAGGGGAGGGAGGAGGAGAGAAGGAGGAAAGGAAGGAAGGGAGGAGGAAGGAAGGAGAAAGGGAGGAGGATTTCCACTGAGACTGCCTGCTTACTCCTCATAGGGATGTTCCCGCTTGGTCTTTCTTTTGGAAGGATAAATCTAGAAAGTCAACCAAATAGTTGTATCCTCCAGGAAAAGGGTTGAAGTCCTCATCTGTTTCAATCATCTAGGAAAATGACATCATGGTAAATGGAAAGAAGAATGTTAATCAGGTGATAAAGATCTTTAAAAAAATTCTGAGAATAAAGACTCAAATGTCTTTAAAGTAGGCATAATATTAATATTATGTCTCTCTCCCTTCCCTCTCTCCCTCCACTCCATCTTTCTCCTCTCCTGAATTGCTAACATTAAAATCCCAGTCTTCTGTATTAGTAAAACTGCTTCCTATTACTATCTTTAATCAAATTTTAAAAGAAGGATATAAGAACTATAAGTAATGAGACATCAAATACCACCAGAAGTTTTCAGGTTAAGGGATATTAATAAAATTTGGAATCTTTCCTGCTGTCATTATGGCAGCTAATGAAACTTAAGAAATAGTTTCATTGAATCTATTATAATTCCATTTTCATTACTGATAATATCATTTAGATCAAAATTTCCCAGGTCCCAAGATTTCGAAGGCAATTTCCTTAAAAAAAATGTCCTGAGTGCTAAAAATATGGTACCAAACATTTTATTTTTCCAAGTGGGACTTGGAAAACACAACTACATCTTACTATCCTTTTATGCCACTAAAGACTGCTTTAATGCCTCAAAAACAGAAAAGAGCTTAATCTTAGAGTTAATTCATCCCAAGAAAAAAAGAGTTGATCTTGTGCACCAATATGCACATTGCACTCTTACTTATTACTATTGACAAGCAAAAACCTTGTCACAGACTGGCAGTGAACCCAGTAGTTCTTGAAATCACTGCTTTGGAGTGTGACAAATGTGCCAGCATTATGTTCAGGTTGAAAGGAAACATGGAAATGACTATTCCCCCTGAGGTTAACTAGTACTTGTCTCTAAGAGGTGTGTGTTTGTCCACTTCCTGATGCCACCTCTAGACTTGGCTTTCCCTTGCAGCACCTGTACACTGGTTACTCAGTACACTGCATGCTTTTCACCTTCCAGACCTCCTTGCATCCCCCTGTCTGCTAATTCCTAATTTGCTTTGGAACACCTCCAACTTTGTTGATCACGTATATAACCTGAGCTCTTAGCTTGTTGTTCTGTGCATATGGGCTAATTATATTTCTAGATTCATGTTCTGCCTCTTGGTTTGTGCCATTCAGTCCCCACCATAGATAGAGCTATGAATTACCTGCATCTGTCTTACCTTGTTCCAAGTCACCCCCCCTCTGAGTGTATCCCACCTTCTAGCCTCACAGATTCATAGCTGTTCCTGCCATGCCAAATATCAACACTAAAACAAAAGCACCCACCAACTCAAAACAAACAAACACACACATGGTAATATGAACAAACAGATGTTCCTAAAGGAAAACTGAGCTGGACTCAGAACAGCTCCTAAATGTTCAAGGAGAGTTGTTTATCACATGTCAAATCTATCTCTGCCAGGGAGTTGGTGGGCTTAATAGAAACAAATTGGAAAACTAAAAGGATTTCATCTATTTCCAAAAACAAGATAGCAGAGATAAATAATTTGTAACAGCATACCCTGACCACCAGGTTGTAATTCTTAAATCCAGCCCAAGTGAAATATTCTTTTATCCAGGATGAGTGAAGAAGATTTCATCCCCTATAGCAGCATTCAAAGTGTTCAGATATGTTCAAGTCCCAGGAATCTGTATGTAAATTTTAGTTCCTTCTTGGAGGCTCTATGATGCCTTTGCTTAAAAAAAAACAAACATGAGAGAATGGCAAAAGATGTAAACAATAAATAGCTTTTAAATACTAAAATTCAATCAGATTTGAATGGAAATGAAGTGCCTCATGGGCCTCACCTTAGCCTAAACCAAAGCAGCTACCATATTATTTAGTAGATGGTTTTTAGTCAATTTCATTTGAATAATAAAGTTGAACTCTAGACCAAGCATGGTCACACACCTGTAGTCCCAGCTCTTCAGGAGACAGAGCTAGGAGAAGGTTTGAGGCCAGTCAAGAAAAGAATTAGTAAGACCCTATCTCAAAACCAAGCTGGGGGTGGGTGGCATTCCTGGGATCTCAGCTACTTGAGAGGTGAAGGTTGGGATTGTTGTCTGAGGCTAGCCCAGGCAAAAAATGCAAGACTCTATCTGCGAGAAACAAACCATAAGCAAAAGACTGGGACATGGCTCAGTGGGTAAAGTGCCTGTCTAGCAAGCCCAATTCCTGAGTTCAATTCTCTAAAAATATAATTAAAAAAAAGTCATGTCTGGGAGAAAAAGTTCAAAATCACTGATTTGGACCCTTTAGGGGAACAATTCTAAAATGTTGGATACAACTTGTTGCATTGACTTTGTAGTATTCCCAACACTCCTACCTCTCCATT